GGTTGTGGAGAGACAGATTATTCACCTTTTTTCGTAACTTCTCTATCAAATTTAGGATAACATCACTTATATAAACCAATCGATTTTTACTCGTCAACTGCTCAAGGAGATCATGAAGATGAAGCTTTCTCACTATTTTGTATTGGCTGTCATATTGAATTTATCATACTGTCTTAAAATCTACAGGTTTGCTCAATATTTCGTTACGATTGTGTATCGAAAAGTGGTAAAAAATTTAATTTTCATATTAGTCCTTAACCATAATACAAAGTTGTAAGAGGAATAAAATAATGAATTTGCGGCATATTCTACGTCTCAAACAACAGATTTTTCAAGTTGTACATTGATTTATTGGGAGAATGCACACTATACGTTACAAGCATACCTACATAGCTGAAAAAAATGTTACGCACCATCTATAATCCAGCAAGTAAAAATTACTCTGCACATCATCATGCGAAGTGATCAATAAAAAAACTGAATATTACAAGCAACTGCTCAACTGTTACGTAAAACCAGGTGGATACAGTCTTCCCTATTATGATGAACATCGCTTGCATATTAAATTTATACGCGTATACACTAGCACTTGGTACATGGCATTCAATTTTCTTCTTTATAATGCGAATACAGCTACATCGGTTCTTGATACGCACTCACGCACGTACACATGCTTATCGAGAATCAAATCTTCATTTCCATACACCACTGCGCTGGATAAAAAAAGGAGCTCACCGCACGAAACATAATAACACATTTCAGACAGATCGATCTATTGCTTCGGATCTAGGAAATGAATAATTACGCGCGCACGAAAATATTCCCCGTCAAATTCATCTGCGCACGCTCGCCGAGCTGAATTTAAATAACAAAGCTCACCCATGATATGACAGCGCGTACTATCTCCTCCCCTTTTTTTCTATTCATGCAGAATACACGGGGGCGCATGTAGCGGTGAAAAGTCTTTTGTCGAGCGACTATGATTTTTCACGCGCCAGCGATCGTGAACGACGCTGCCCATGGTGAACGCAGCTTTTCAAATGAACAGTATATTTCGCGAGCGTGGATCGAAAAGCCTTAGGCTAACCACAAAGATAAGTTGAACTAGTGCACTTGCGATCAAAACTGAGAGAAAATGCATGATTAGACAATTATGTGTACTCTTTCTTTTTTTTCTTATTAGAATATTTTGATTCTCAACCAATTACGAAGCAGCAAATTCACACTTTTGTTTGCTTTTAACAAGTTACCATCTCTTTAATGATTTTGAAATACAAACGTAGCATATTTTCATATTTTCATGGATTGGTCTAACACGGCACATAAAAAATTACATACAACTGAAAGGTAAATCAAAGCATTGGGTAATCGATCTAAAAATGAACAAAAACGCGTACTCACTGAACGCCTTTTCTCCACCATTTCTTTTTGTTGTGTTGAGCCGCATCTAAGTCTAAGTGGCATCGCAGGCGGCTAAGTGTATCTCTGCTCACTGTGTCAAGCTTACGAATGACACTAATTTTACTATCACACTTTTAGCTATCATTCTCCAATACATTCATTACCAAATACTTGGTTCACTGAATTATTTCGAGAATTATTTCTTATTAAGAGTTAATTATTGATACACATATCTCACTACATGTACTTATATTATACGCAGGTCATGTTTTATCAAACTATTCAGTTATTTTTTTAATTATTTGTCTCAGAATAATAATAAAATTTCCTTTTTACCCAATAAGTACACACGTGCATTCGTTAGATTCAATTTGTTTTATTTGCACGATAGAGCTGAAAAACATTCATGTACAATTACTTTTCTTTTGTGTACAGATTCGTAAACATTGGAAGATTTTATGAACGTACGAGAGGCCGATTTAATTATTTGAATCGATTAGATTTTCGTACACTATACTCTTATGTCTCATTACATGAAATTATTTGATAATAATTTTTTTCTAATTCATATTTTAAAGATTCTATTGTAGAGTTATCTTCGACTAATACTTCATGCTTAATATGCAGTTGATGATAATTACTCAGAAAATAAGTGACAGTACAAAAATTCGTACCCACACAAAGGTTATGATTCATAAATTTTTGTCTCTATACTAATTGACGTTCAAATTTAAATCGTGATAAATTAAACAAAATATATATGCCNTACACTTGTGAAAGTTAACTTACTGCAACAAGGAGAATAGCTAAACTGCACAGAAAAACCTTCATTTTATTTACAGTTGACTATGACGATTAGCGTCTACTTAAGTATGTTTGAGAAATATTTCAAGCGCTCAGCTTATTCCGTATTTATACTGTGAAATGTTTACGTAACCACAAAACCGGAAAATTGTTTTTTTTTTATTTTAATGCGAGTACTTGTAAGGTATGTCAAAATTTTACTCGTGAACATATCCCGGAAAAATAACTGTTAATGTTTTGGATGTCACTTCAATTGCAGTGAAGAAGAATAATACTTTTAACAAATTTGGCCTTTCTTGGACATTAAATCATTTTCCCAATTATTGCGTGACTTATTCCTCACTCCTAATAAAATATTCAAAAATATGTATTACTTTTTGTTATTAGCTTATTTTGTGTCGTTTTATTGTGTTACTATTTATTAGTAGTTTTTCTACTGACAGTAACCCTGTAAGTATCATTATGTTATTTACTATAAAGTTTGGAAAAAGAAACTACTTTTGATGTGGGTTGTGCATATAAATTTATTCATTTATATCATATAGAACTGGAGTGACTCTAATATTTACAAATAATTTATAATTATAAATTCGGTTTAGTTAAAATAATATTTACCGCGAAAAAAAAACATTATTATAGGATTATTGAAGAAGACTTCTACGATTTATGGACAAGGTTTACCCTTACAAGTACTCTCTCAGCAACTAGGTGATTATGAAATTTTTTCTAAGTATAGTAGGAGTGAGTTAAAATATCTAAATAATTAGTTGAAGCTTAAAACAGCTTATTTATGCTTAGTATTTACATAAAAAAGCAGCAACTGAGCTTCAGTTGTTCCGTGCTGACGTATGTCGTTACACAATCTGAGCCGTAAAATAGAAAAATCCACGAAAACAATGTATGTATATATACGTATACTGTAAAAGAAGAACGGCTTGGAAAATAAAGCTGATATTTAATAGCAAAAGTAAATTTTTTTCGGGTCACTGGATTATAAGCTCTTCAGTATTTGTGTGTCCACTTTACAGCGAATAATCTGCATTCATTAAAAAAATTATAAACTTGGCTCGTAATGGGAGCTTATCAAAATTTAGTGCCGTAAATTTGCTCGTATTATATTTCCCTCATCTTTTCATTTTATCGCTTGACTTTGTCCAGTTAAATCAGCCACAAATTCACTAAATGATCAAATCAAATCCCATTTAAAAGAAAACTACGTTCTCCACCGTATCAGAATCTTCAGCACCAAATCAAGGAATGACAACAAGTTATTTGTTTTCCTGGTTAGGCGTAGAGATTTTCTCTTTTTTATTGCTCTTATTTTGTGTTTTATTTCTAGTGGAAGCTGAATTTTATCTGGGGCTCTGTGCATATGATGTTGATGATATTGACGGTAAAATATGTTTTTAACATTAATTCAAATGAAAATACGGATTGAAAAATGTAGGAGACTTACACAATATTTAAAACATAAATATTAACTGCACAACACGTTTGACTTATTTGAAGGTTGATTTAGAAAAAAAAAAAACTGATACTAATTAGTTGGCCCGAAATTATCTCGAGATCTATTTTTCTGTTTTTTTTTAAAGAAGTATTTGATGTTATTGATACAGTTTTTTTATAGCTTTAAAATGAGCGATAAAAATATGAGAGTTATTGATTTATTATTTAGAAAAACTTGTCTATTAAAATTGAAAAACATGTGTCTTTAAAAGTGAATACTAAATGTTGATATTTTTTAAGTTATTAACATTAATAGCAAAGTTCTTCATCACTAGATAATTAAATTGAAAAGTCTAAATTCTGGAACGTGATTTGCAGAGTATCTATTATTTTTTGATTATCTACCTAGCGGACTCACCTAAAGTGAGAATTGTTTTCTGTTTTGGCATCTTTATTACCCTAAGAGTCGACGAAAAACTTAAGCTCTGTACTTCATTGTCGATCACAATTTTTAGTACAAAACTCACATTAATCCAGACCTTATAATGTATATACTTTTACGTGCAATGTTGTGCACCATAGACATCAAGGTAATATTGTTTGGAAATCATTTCTTTCAAACAAACCCCAGGATCAATTTATATTGCTTATTATCACCTTACGAAAATAAACTTTACACTTAAACAGTTATTAAAATGATCCATTCTTATGTAATAAATATAAGCATTTTTTTTTTTTTTAATAGTTTATTTGACACATACATATCCAGCCTCTTTTCCCCAACACGTGACGTAGCATTTAACTTTAGGATCTTCATAATTTAGTTTTTGTCCTTCTTTTATTTCTATTATTGAAAAATACAATTTAAGTGGCAACAACATTATNTTATTAAAACAAAACTTTTATTTCAAAAAGAGTTTGTAACCCCTCAACTTGAACCTAACTTGTTAGCAGCTCAGTGAAAACTGAATTTTTTATGACTTAATCTTACCAATGACAATTAGAAATGACTACTCTTATGCTTCTCTATTGTAAAATGCTCATGTATAAAGTACGTTCTAAAATTGAAAGCACCGTGTTTTCCTGTTTCAAATAAAAAAAAAAAGATAATGGTCGGCCCTAAGATGGCAACCACCTTGGGAACTTAGGATTCGTACATAAATAATGGCATTATTATATCTAGCAATCCGGAAAACATTCTTTGTTTAAGAAACAATCATTAGAGAAGTAGAGCAACTATAAACTACTAGTGATGATTACAAGGTGCTTTTAGAGGGAGAACATTTTACTAAATTTGTTACATTTACATTTTTTTAGTGTCAAAGGTAAACGTTACATAAAAGAACAGATTTTAAAATAAGTACTATTATGTTTATTTAAATTGATTTTGTAAGTGTAGTTACATTGTTAGGAAAATAACAAAGTTAAGTTTGTATTATAGCTGTTTTAGTGAAAAAAAAAACTAATCTGAATTTTCATTTTCCTTTTTTTTTCCTTTCATTGAGATTCCTTTTTCCTTGAGGCATTTCAACATAGCTGATCCCACTTCACAGTCAGATTGTTTGTTGGCTGCAAGAAAAAATTTAAAGTAAATATTTTGGAACAAGCATCAAAGATTTACTTCATTGAGTTTGTACATTATGAGAGGAGATGCAATGATTTTTTTTTGAATATTCATAAAATCTTAAGCCTGAAATGAGGCACTAAGAAAGTTAAAAAAAAAATCAAATTAAATAACTTTATTCAGGCATTTGTCTTAATTTTAATATTATTCAGCTTCAAGACTTACCTTCTTCAGCACAACCCTTGACAGCCTCTTTTTTAGCGTCATCCAAATTTAGCTTTTTAGATAATTTCTCAATGAACTTTTCAGCGTTAACTTTGCCGTCAACAATCTAAAAATGCAGATCAATATTTAAAGATTTAATTGTACAAGAAAAGATTAATAAACACGTACAATTCCAAATTTCTTTCCCAAACAAGTGATGAAGCATTTTACTTTTGAGTCTTCCAAATTAGGAAATTGTCCTTTTTTTATTTCTACAATCAAAAAAATCAAAGTGACGAATACATAATCAATAATTAATAAAACTAAATTGAACATGTGTATAAAGTATACCATCTGTTAATCCACTCTCCGTTTTACATTCCTTGAAAACTCCACCTTTAGCTTGGCATGGCAAGCAAATCTGAAAAAACATGTATACAATCAAAGTATTTTTTTGTAGTAGAGAAGGTTGAGAAAGCATCAATGAAAAAAAGTTATTACGGTAGATCTGAACTACATAATCATCATTTATGAAAGATATACTTTTGGTCCATAATTTACGTAAATCCATCAATGATTATGAAGATTGAGATCCTAACTGTGCTTTTGAATTTAATACTTTATAAGAATATTCGGAGTCACCAATTTTTTTGATTGCTCTATTATTGTTTGATATAATATGGGTGCTACTAAATATGCTTATGAATATCGATGAAAAGCACACTTTCAGTGAGATTGTTAAGATATCAATAAATTAATAATAATACATGTAATTATATCTACTACAGCTTAGTACAATAAAAAAAAAAAAACAACGTTATTTTAAACATATGTACTGACTGTTGGATGAGAATCAATGAAATCATAAATTATAGTTATACGTGTGAACATTATTTAAAAATATGGATAAATTTTTTTACATTATACTTGTGAAAGTCAACTTACTGCAACAAGGATAATAGCTAAACTGCACAGAAAAACCTTCATTTTATTTACAGTTGACTATGACGATTAGCGTCTAAGTATACTTGAGAAATGTTTCAAGTGCTGCAGCTTATTCCGTATTTATACTGTGAAATATTTACGTAACCACAAAACTGGACAATTTTTTTTTTGTAATGTCAAAGTTTTACTCGTTAACATATCTGGAAAAATCAACTGATGATGTATCAGGCTGATGTCTATGTAATTACAGCGATGGAGAACAATACTTTTTACATTTTTTAACTGTGTAGAACAAAAAATTATTTTTCCAGGTATTGCGTGACTGGTTTCTTATTTCTGATGTATCGTCATTTTTATTAGTGTAAAAATACTATAATAACGATAGTAATAAATGTTTTATAGCAAAACTTTACTGTGTAATCTCTAAAAATGTACAAATTTTTTTGTGATTAATAAATTTGAGAAAAAAAAATTAAAAAAATAGTCGTTTTGAATAATTAAGTTAGGAAAAGTGTATGCATTACGAGAACATTTCTGGTACAATGAAATAATTTACATTAACGTATAACAAAAAATTTCAAATGTTTTATGAATTTTCATCCATGAATGTTACGTGCAGTTGCGAGTGTAGTACTTGATATATTTCTAGTTATAATTAAAAAATTCGATGTACAGATATATACCAATTCGATGTACAGAAATTTAATAAGGTCGTGAGATTGAAGCAAAATATTACTCGCGACATTTTTGTTCCACCTGCAAAAGAAAGAGAAAAAATTTCGAAAAATGGACGAAAAAAATATTTTTTAATTAAAAAGTAATCTAGTTATTGATGTCGAATGAAACGTATGAGAGGTATAGTGCAAAAATCAGAGCTGATTAAGAGTCACTGGACGGTCATGGTTGAAAATTTTTTCAGCTGCAATGCTTACCCATCAATAGCAGCGTCGACTCGCGGCAAGGGTAGTTGCAACGAAAAAAAAAAAAAAGAAAAAAGAAAAATACGTGACGGACGTAAATAAAAAATCAAACCCGAATTACGGGGAAAAACGTGAGGACCATTCCAAATTTTAGTACCAAAATCAGCGCATGATCCAGTTGCCTGTAGAGAGACTTTGAAAAATATTTACATGGCTCGTGCGTTGAGAGTCGTTTCCATCGAAAAAGAGCTCGTAATTTGAGTAGATAATGGCCCACGCGTACGGAAAAGAAAAAAAAAAAAAAAAAACGTGATTTTTCCGTATTCCAAACACATCCTGGCACCTGGTGTGCGTTTTTAATACAGTGTATGCACAGGTTAATTAAATGGCAATTCAATTACAGTGGTATTGAGTACTCGTGTGGGTGCTTGGATATGCGGTCTGTTTCGCCCAGCTGTGGCTTGCTCTCTTGGGAGTACGGAAGCGTGCATCGGAATGTGTATCGATTTCACTGGTGTTGACCCACGTCGAATTTCATATGTGTGTATATATATGCATGCACACGTAAATGCATCAATGGGCGATATTAGTCGCTGTACATTCGCATGGGTAAATAAGCAAATGGATGTGTGGACACGAGTTCATTTGATACCTTCACCTATAGCAACAGCGGAATATTGCCTAGTTATTATATTTGCTCGTGGAATTATTAAATTAACATCTGAAGCTACTAACTGCGGCAACTCGCTCATCTATAGGACTCCCTCTCCCACTGATCTACCCATTCTGTTGATTTTGCCATTAGTTACACGATGCGCGTGGTTTATTGAGTGAATGTGTATTTACACAAATGTATTTCCTGTAGCTTTTTTTGTTTGAGATTTTCTTCCGCTGTATGTAAAAAGAAAACATTTATGTGTTCTTAGATTAAAATACGACTTGAAGTGGAGCTTGCAGTGGAGGCATCCGTATATTCTTCGACGGTACTAATTTTAAAATCGTGTTAGACGTACGTTTTATGATGTAAGATATTAGAAAACATCGTTATGAAAAAAATTTTCGTTTGTTTATACGTATATTTTTGTATATTTTCCAGTATGATCAGGTACATTATATGTGAGGATAGAGGTAGGCACTGATTCAAGATCAAATGGAGAAGAACAAAAATCAAAATTTTACTTAGGACACGGATTGACAGATTAAAAAATACATGAAAAATAATAAAAGTTAAAAAAGACCTTCAAGGCCAAGGTAACAAATCTGAGACAAAGTAACAAAAATGTCGAGACAAATTAAGTTCGAGGTTCTATAACAGAGACAAAATTATGATATGCATTTGCGAAATTAGACACACTGATCACAAGTTGTAAGAAAAAACTCTCAAAAGGTCTAAGTTGTTAAAAAATCTCTAAGAAAATAAAAAAAGTATGTTTCAATTATATCTTAGCGTCATTGTAAATTTTAATATCTTGTCTAAAAGAAATAAATGAAGTAAATAAGATTTTAGAAGTTTAAAACGAGCTTAGTATTGTAAAGTAATTTCTTTCAGATAGTAAAAATCTAAGAATATTTGCCCCTCTGGAATACTAGAAATGATTAATCATAGTAATTTTTTAAATGAGATAATAATGAGCATTTAAACAGCTTGACAATGACATTCGTCTTAGCTGAGTATCAGAAATATTCGATAGAGAAATAGTATCATGTCATCGGAGTATTTATAATTGAAAAAAACAATTAAGGTCTATTAGCTTTTTTCTTTTTATGTGCGATAATAACGCGATTTGTAAAAATATTTGATTTTTTTTTTTTTGTACAAATCATTTGACAGTCCAGAAGTAGTCGTTAACATGCAGGTCCAATGTTTTATTTGTTCAGTGATCCAGTCTATTTGTGCCTTTTATTATGTTATCCACCTAAAAAATGGTAATAAAAACTTATTAATATATTAACAATTAGCATAATAAAGTACCATAATTATGATAATTTATTTTAGATTATATTAGCATAATCCTTTAATCATTTAGTTGTGTTAATTTTAGTCGATGCAATCCTGTTAGATGGCGATAATCATGTTATACCGAACGATGCTTCTGATTGCTATGTATCCCTTCGAAACAGTACTGGTCTGCATTTTTGCGGTGGTGCAATAATCAGCAATTACTATATTTTAACAGCTGCTAGCTGTGTAACGTACATTCACGACAGCAGCTTTAGCTTTCGAGGTGAGATTAACGTGGCACGGAGAAATACGAAATCGAGTTTAAATGTTGAAATTCTGGGACAGGTTGAAAACATGTTTGTACCCCAAAGTTTTTTTCATTACGAAAATGACATTGCACTTCTTGAGGTATTTTTGCATCCTTTTCTTCTTAAGCTTTATTGCTCAATCATTAAAATCACATCGAAATTTCAGTTGAAAAATAGTTTGAAACTAGAAGAAAATCCAAAATTAAAGAAAGCACTTTTTCCATTGATAAGGCAACCTTACAACGAAATAGTGTTTGAAGCACATGGTGCCGGGCATAATGTATTAAATTATATCAAAAATGGTGCCCAATTCTCTTTTTCAAAATCTTTTCAAACAGATTATAGACTGAAATACTTGCAAATGACAATCTTACCAAACGATAAATGCTTGATCCCTACTCAATCAAACAGTTTTTGTGCTGTGGCGCTTACACTGGAACCAGCAGGATTATGTGAGGTAAGTTTTATAAAACACCAGTAATTAAAATTTAGTTGTACAAAGAAAGTTAATATTTCACTCANAGTGTATGATTCACTTCTACAAAGTCTCTAAAACTGTAATTTTATAATTCACCTCTACATAATCTGTAAGAGTGTTATTATACCTACTTCATGAAATTATGTTTTGACTGTAGTAATTTCTCCTGTATTTTAATAAAATTTTAATGAAAAAATAATGAAGTTTATTTAATTACTCAAAAAATTTTATTCGAAAGTTATTTTTGCGAACTTTCTTCGAAAATCATTAAATTTTTTTAGGGTGATAACGGTAGCCCTCTCCTGCATGATAATATGCTTTTCGGAATCTACACTCATGGTAGCAAATTCTGCAACAACAAAATTAACCCCGCATACTTTACACGGGTATCATCGTACTGGAAATTTATTGTCACAGCTGTCACGCATGGTGGAATTAACTTGACGGAAATCAAATCCTCCAATAAGTATGTAGAAATCCTTCTGATGTATTAAAAAAAATTTACAAATGTAACTAATGCTATTAATTTAGATTATGATGAAATATGCTTCTTGTTAATTTAAACACTAACTACGATTTGTTGAAAAAATAGCATGTTAACATTGTTATGTAGAAAAAAGTCAAAGATGATTTTTAAAAATTGAGTTATCAAGTAAAATACAACACAAATGAATAGCTTTAAGGGTAAAGGAAAAAAAAGTTTTAAATTATAACTAGCAGATAAAACATTAATTATAAAGAATTTTAGTTTTAGTTTATTGACATCCGTTTTTAACATCAATCAAATCATCTAAAAATAAAAATGTCACTTATACATTTGTTCCAACTCATAACAATGATTCTTAAACAAATTTTTTTTATTCAGGAACAAAGTTTTAAAACCAAATACCAGCAAATCTATTGACGTTTACATCGAATCGATTTTAAAAGTTTTACTTGGCTCTGATCGCATATCAGAAACTTGGATGATACATACTGCATATTGGGTAATAACATACGTCCGTAGTACGTATATTATTTAATTTAACTTTTTGTACACTAAATATAATAACTGGATATATTAAATATTATCAAAAGGTCAATTATAATATATCTGACATGATAATAAGAAATTTTACAAAAGTACATGAAGCCGACAACAAGTTGATTTCTGTACAAGATGGAATATTTACGTTTTTGATAAATATGGACTGGAACGATCTTTATGTAAGTATAATTATTTTTTAAAGCTTTTGTTATAAATAAGTTTGCAAGTATAAGATAAGATATCAGTGTACAAAAATTTAATAAAAGCTGACTCCGTAGCTTTCATTTTGAGTTCGATAGTAGTTTATCGCGTAACATAGATACTTTGTCATTATCAAGCTACTTGCAATGTACAATTGATCACTTTTATCAAATATACTGTAACACTTCTTTTTA